TTGGTATAGTTGTAGGTTGAGAGCGCTGTTTTGAGGGTCTTTTCACACATTTTTCTTTTACATATATTTCACAGAATTCTAGGACATACATGTGTGGGATTTTTTTCAAAGCTTTTTTTTAACCAGCAAAATTATTCAGATTGATAGACGTAGATTAAAAGTAATTGACATTAAAAGTGGAACATACGATTTTACATTTTGACAATAGACACTTTAAAATGTCACTTTTTTTGTGGTTTGTGTCTAATTGATATTTCCCTTCTGTAACGGTCTCAGAAACAATACAAAAGTGAGGCAACAGTCACTGACAGCTTTCACCTGTACAGTTTTCTCCCATTGGAAAAAACTTACCCCTCAAACAGTTAAAACCGGTTTCAACACGTTCAGTTTCACGCTCTATCCAAAATTAAGAAACATTTTGGTTTTAGACACACCTTAATATATGGCGGATGCAAGGGGGTTTGCGGAGCAGTTGGTGATGGAATATTCACGGGGTCGGTCCCCCCGCACTGTAATGTAAAGGAGCACTGTGAAATAAAAAAGGGACTGCACTGTAAAGGGGCACTGTATTGATTACAGTGCCCCCTTACTTTTTAGTGCCCCTAGAGATCTAATCACAGTGCCCCCCTATACATTCAGAGACAGGCCCAGTCCAGCACTGAGCTGTAACAGAGTGCTGGCAGATGAAGGCTAGAGGCTGGCGTTGTCCCTTCAGTGTGACTGTGTGCAGCGGCCAGCGAGGTGCCTGTGTGTCCTCGGCGGCGCTTCCTGCCTGTCACTGGAGCTGTCACTAACGCTCCTCCTGTCAGCCCTGCTTTGGGCATAGCCACACAGCAGGAGCTGAGCAGCGGCTGCGGTCTGAGTTAGCCCTGTCCAGGCCACAGTCGCCACTTACCTCGTGCTGTGCGGCCTGCTCATGAACAGGCTGCTCTTCTGCAGCCCGGCAGCCTCGGCCCACTGGGCAAATGCCCGGTGTGCCCTATGGTCAGTCTGCGCCTGGTTGAGTCTGATTTTAGCATTATGTGTTAGGAATATGAAATAAAAAAAATTCATGCAGAAACCTGACCAATTGCATATCTGAAACAATGGCATTTATTTTACCTCATCACGTGCTACCAAAGTAATAAAAGCTCCCTGTTTAAAGCATTCAATGGCAATACATTTTCCAATACCGCTGGAACCACCAGTCACCTAGAAAAAAAAAAAAAAAAATATTAGTTAAAAATCTATTAGTAAGACTTTCTACCATTTGCTCTGGTGTGAGTGTTGCACAAATAACCAAACAAATGAACTTAATTCCTACCCTTCATATCCAGCCTCTACATGTTGACATTCTGCAATGTAAACCAGGTTCACCAGCAATTCATCAAAGATGGAATGGCTTAAAAAGCTAGTCAGGCTAAGATGTAGGCACCTCAAAACTGAATTGGTTATCCAGCTTTAGATGAAGCTATTCCAAAATGTTGCTAAATACCATGCATACAAACACAAGTAGGGTAGCTGACATTACCAGATTTTTTTTTTTACCCCATAACATACAGTAATAGTATTTTAAATATCATTTTAAGCTTCCTGTGCAAAAAAACGGTCAGGAGTAGCAAACACCACGATAACTAAACAGGCTCAAGGTTCTTTACCGTCATGCATTCTATGCTTGATGGTAAAAAAAAAACCTTCTGTGTGCAGCATCCTCCTCTGTCCCCCTAAGTCTAGGTTCACACCTATGCAGGTTGCGTTTGAGGAGTTTTTGCATTGTGTTTTTAATGCATTTTTCTTTATTTTTCTTGTTGCTAGGCAGATTTTAAATGCAACACGCATCAAACACATGGCAAAAAAACCCGCAATACATGTTTTTCTGCTGCGTTCCCATTGAAGTCTATAAAAACACAAACACGTTTTGCATTCAAAAAAAGTCCCTGACCCTTTCCAAACAATGCACTGGGTGAATATGCGGAGATGTGAACATGTCCCATAGGAAATCATGTTAAATAATCTGTACTGAGTTTCTGAAAAACACCTACGTGTTAATCTAGGGTAATACTTGAGCCCCATTGCAGTCCAGCGATGTGCACAAGAGCTTCGGCTCTCTGGGAACTCTCCCTCATTGGCTGAGACAGCAGTGGTAGTCAATGGCAATCACAGCCAGTGAGCTGAGGAGAGAGGGGGCGGGGCCAAGCAATGGCTGTGTGTGAATGGACAAGCAGAGCAACGACTCAGGAGTGAACCTGCTTGGGTGCCCCCATAGAAAGCTGCTTGCTCTGGGGCACTTGGCAGGAGGCAGGGGCCCAGAGCACCAGTGGGGCACCCAAGAAGATCGTGGTGCTCTGTGCAAACCACTGCACCGAGCAGGTAAATATTTTTTATATATCACTTTAGAACCTATTTCAGGTTTATTTGTGCCACCTGCACCAGTTTCTATTTCACAGAAAAATGAAGAAAACATCTGCACATCTCAGCCAAGTCTGACCAGGAGTATTTGATGACATTCCAGACTTCCAGCACAGAGTGACAAAGATACTATGCAGCATTCCAGAAATGTTTCCAGCACTGGTACAGCTGTCTAGAAAAGTGTGTTGCTTCACAAGGGGCCTACTTTCAAGATGACAAACTGCTAGTGTATAGGTAAGCAAACATTTGCCAGTCCATTCCTGGAATTAAATAGTATACTTCAAGCAAACTTTGGATTTGCAAACTTGGTCTACGCTTGTGACTTAGAAAGTACTGAAATAACGGGGCACAGTTCCTACCAGTGACATCAATAATGCGGCATGATTCTTCCCATCCAATGACACCAACACGGGGCGCAGCTCCTACCAGTGACATCAATAATGCGGCATGATTCTTCCCATCCAATGACACCAATCACGGGGCACAGCTCCTACCAGTGACATCAATAATGCGGCATGATTCTTCCCATCCAATGACACCAATCACGGGGCGCAGCTCCTACCAGTGACATCAATAATGCGGCATGATTCTTCCCATCCAATGACACCAATCACGGGGCACAGCTCCTACCAGTGACATCAATAATGCGGCATGATTCTTCCCATCTAATGACACCAATCACGGGGGCACAGTTCCTACCAGTGACACCAATAATGCGGCATGATTCTTCCCTTCCCATCACAAGTGACACCAATAATGGGACAAAATTCCTCTGACCATCACCGATGATGGGGCATTGCTTACTCCCAGTGATGCCAGGGCATTTTCTACTTCCAACGTCCACAGTCGGACCCCCCCTGAAGGACACCAAACCGTTTAGAGACCCCTGGTCCATGCAGACAAGTTCCTTTTCCTGTACTGTACGTACAATAACAGCACAACCTACAAACACAAAATGACAAATGTTAAAGGTTGGACTTGACTCACCACTATATGGGCACCGGACAGTTTTAGGGGGTTTGGACTGATGAGCGGAGACACCATGTACAGCAGCAGCACAAACGCCACTAGGAAGGCAGCGGCCAGCAGCAGCATGACGGATTGCGTGAGGATGTCCAGCCTGAAGAAAGGGAAGGCACACAGGGGGAAATAGGGGCTCAGTCACAGTATGAGGGGAAGTACACAAGGAAGGCTGACTGCCAACAGATGCCCTGGGAAGGAGTTCAGTGGATGACTGAATAGGGTAGAGAGTGCCAGAGGAAAGGCAAGTAAGACAGGTTTGGAGGGGAGACTAAAGAGCAGCAGGACACAGACAGACACACACATGGATATGTTACTGAACAACTGGAAGGAGACAATGTGGAGGGACAGAACAGTCAGCACGTGATAGAGAAACAGGGAAGAGGATGCCAGGAGCACGTGTGACCAACACTCAGGACAGCAGGAGGAAATCACAACCAACAGCTCCTTCATAACATGGGACTGCAGGCAGAAGTGGCAGTTCGCTGACAGAGCCGGGCTCGTCTATGTGACAGCATGCACCTCTCCCAAGCTGGGTCCTCCGCACGCCCCTCCCCCTGTGCTGCTCTTCCTGTTTACATTTCACTTTCTCTACAGTCAAGAGGGCTCGCTGTGGGTTCTGGCGCCCGGGAGATGTTATGCTGCCATCTAGTGTCAGAATTCAAGAATGCCGTTATCATTTCTTCAGGCGTTTCACACGATCTATCTGCAGGTTTGGAAACCTTTTCAAGAACAAACCTCCGCTAAATATAACTGATGGTAAAGTGGAACCAGGGGCGGACTGACAACTCATGGGGCCCCCGGGCAATAGGGGATCATGGGGCCCCTGTGTCCTTGCCCAAACTCAAAAAAGCCCATAAAAAAGGTACAAGGGGCATCTCATGGGGCCCAATACTGACCCCGGGCCCTCAGCGGTGCCCGAGTTTCCAAATGGCCAGTCCGCCTCTGAGTGGAACTTTACCCATATCTGCTTGATAAAAAATAATGTTGTTTAACATGCATGCCACATTAATAATTATGCTACCAAAAGGTGTGTGTGCTGTAAATTGCCTCCAGCATTGCTCCTGTTGGAAGCTGTCAATTTGCTGAACCCCAGAGGCCCTGGACTCCAGTAAGGCCTGCTTCACACCATAGGATTTATTTATTAAAGCTGAAGAGTATAAAATCAGGCTCACTGCTGCATAGGAACCAATCAGCTTCCAGGTTTTATTGCCAAATTAATTGAACAAGCTGAAGTTAGAAGCTGATTGGCTACCATGCACAGCTGCAGCAGATTCTGAGTGCTCCAGGTTTAGTGAATCTACCCCTATATGTGCAAAAAAACTGATGAAACTGGCCAACAGATTTCACTTGCAGAGACATCCATTTTCATATGTGCTGCAATTAGTTTTACACACGTTGCAGATTCCTGCATAGAAAAAATCTGCATGTGATACCAATGTGGTGGTGTGAACAGGGGCATTTAGAGAGCAATTGATTTCATGGTGCCCTTGCAGAATGGGTGCAGAAAAACTGGCATCTCTGCACAATGGTGTGAATGAGCACTAGATCATAAAGCAGAAGTAAAGTGTTACTAAACCCAGGACCCGGCCTTCACTATATCTAGTCTCCCACAGTACACAGAACATGAAAATGCAATTATTTTAGTAAATATAAACTGCTAAATACCTTTTCTCATCAGCAGTATTGTGACTTCTATCAGTGCCCAGCAGAGCACTGGTTAAAGCTTGTAGCAGGAGTTTTCTTTCTGCTGTAGGAGGATGCAGAACCTCTGACCTCTGTCTGGACAGTGCTAATTTGCCCTGTGCTGATCACATGCACTCTTCCAAGAAAAAAAAAAAACCTCTCTAGTAATACACACCAAACTGAGCATGTGCAGAGTGTCTCCACACGATATATCTTATCAGGAGATAAGAGGGGGACACTGGAAGAAGGGGAGGATCAGAGAAGTGAGGAGCAAACAGCATTTCTACTCAATGCAGAGGATTAACCCCTTAGGTTCCACAGTGAGTATAACAAGCATGCTTTACTGCATATACAGACTGATTTTATTGTTGTGGGTTCAGTAACACTTTAATGGTTTCACAAAACAGCTACATTCCTGAAATGCCGTGATTGCTAAGGGCTCGTTCACACCACGGTGCAGAGACATCAGTCTTTCTGCATGTGATCTGCAAGGGCGCAATGAAATCAATTGTTCCCTATGTGCCCTGTTCACACCACAACACTGGTATCACATGCAGATTTTTTCTGCACAGGAATCTGCAACATGTATAAAAATCATTGAAGCGTGCATGAACCTGATGCTTCTGTGATGAAATCTGCACATCAATTTCGATCAGTTTTTCTGCATGTATGGTGCGAATGAGGCCTAACTGTCACATTTGCTTGGTGTCCTCAGCCAAACTGTCAAACCATCAAATTGGCTGGTGTCATGACTGCACTAGTATCACAGTGCAGATTTGTTCACATCTGCAATATGTATAAGGCCTTGTTCACACCCTACATGCAGAAAAACTGATGGAAACTGAGCAGCAGATTTCACTTGCAGAGACATCCGTTAACATCAGTTTTCATGTGCGCTCCAAAGAGTTGCAAATTCCTGCACAGGAAAAATCTGAATGTGATACTAGTGTTGTGGTGTGAACAGGGCACATAGAGAACAATTGATTTTGTTGTGTCCTTGCAGAACATGTACAGAAAAACCATCTCTGCACCAAGGTGTGATTGAGCCTTAAAACTCATTGAAGCGTGCATGAAAACTAATGTAAACTGATGTCTCTGCAAGTGATTTTCCTTCAGTTTTTCTGCATGTATGGTGTGAATGAGGCCTGCAAAAAGGATGGAATGGTTTAATTCCACTTTAAAGCTGTCAGCAGATTGGCCTCTACAAATTCTGCAGTGCCTAAAAATAGAGAGCAACTGAGCATGTGCAGAGCAGGGTGAGGCAGTGCATTACTGGGTTTACACAGAATAGGCCTTGTTTTAGGCCTTGTTCACACCATTATTATTATTATACAGTATTTATATAGCGCCAAAAGGTTTGCTCAGCGCTGTACATTATAGTGGGGGACAGTACATGAGACAATACAGTAACAAAACAATACATGAGGGGTTCGAGGGCCCTGCTCTTTTGAGCTTACAATCTAGGAGGGAGGGGATAGTGGTACAGGAGGAAGTGGCTGTGGGGGATGCAGTGGTAGGAGGAGTGAAGGAGATCGGCAGTTAGGTGAGGGTGGTGTAGGCTTCCCTGAAGAGATGGGTTTTCAGGGTGCGCCTAAAGGTGAGGAGGGTAGGTGACAGTCTGATGGATTGGGGTAGTGAGTTCCAGAGGATGGGGGAAGTCCTGGAGAAGTCCTGCAGTCGGGCGTGGGAGGTGGAGACCAGGGAGCTAGAAAGTAGGAGGTCTTGTAAGGAGCGAAGATTATGGGTTGGGTGATATTTGTACACCATGGTGCAGAGATGTCAGTGTTTCTACCTGTGCTCTGCAAGGGCACAAAAAATACAATTGCTATGTGCCCTGTTCACACCACAACACTAGCATCACATGCAGATTTTTTTCATCGCAGGAATCTGCAACGTGTATAAACCTCACTGAAACGTGCATGAAAACTGATGTAAACTTGTGTCTCTGCAAGTGAAATCTGCTTGGTTTTCCCATCATTTTTTATGCATATATGGTGTGAACAAGGCCTTAATGTTTTACATAGCTATACCTGCAAAAGGGGCCAGCCTGAAGTGTGCTAGCAGGACTTAAAGTTCCACTTTAAGAATAGATAATGCTTATGTGCTAAACTGTCTGTTGAAAAAATAAGTAGTTTAAAAACATTTTATATATATTCATGGCAGTTACAGTGAATATCATCTTAGGGCTTGTTCACACTAGAATGCTGTGCGGTATTCAAACATATCACATTCAATTGCACTGCCCTTGAGATCTGCAGTGGGTGTTGTAAGGATTATGCGCAATAGAGACTTGGAAGTTGTACGCCACAGCCATCTTCTTAAGGTCTCAGCCATTTTGTTTTTCATGAACAATCATCTTTCTCCCCTCCTCCCTCCTCTTGAAAATGGAATTTGTAGCTGTAAGTTGTAACAAAACTTCAAAAGAGCCTCTTATCTTAAATAAAACACAGATAGAGGCCAGCTCCAGAGCTGTAAACCGCCAATTAGGCTTGGCAGGATGTCTATTTTGCAAAGACACTTTCCTCTGCCTTATCGTAAAACAATAACTCAGCCATCACACATGACCTGTTAGCGCATTAGAGCTCTAGGAATGCAGAGTGTGTCATAAAACGTCTATTCCACATGTAACAATTCTTAAAATGCAACAGGAACTGGGCACATTAATATTAGGTATATATTTGGATAGATCATTTCATGCTGAGCCAAATAAGGTCCTACATAACTATGTTAGCACATAGGAAAGGGAAGAAAGCAGTCTCTTCCCTCCTGGGTGACAAAGGTACGCTGTGTTTGGTATCCCTGGGTTTGAAATATAATTCTGAATATTAATCTGCCAGTTGCTAGAATACCACCTGCACATACTGGAAGTTATTAATATTAGTATGAAATTGTAGTTGGGACTTGGCCATAAACTTGGTGACCTCCTAGCACTCATCCCCTAAATCGGATGATTGGTCAGTTGTTCTCAGGTGACACCCCTTTAATATCATAGAAAAGGACTGACAGGCCTGGTAAAGGGAGCTCTCATTTAACATCAATCAATAAACATCGTAACGGACTTGATAGCCAAGGAAACATTTTTGCTGGGACAATCGGACTCTTCTAAACCAGGACTTTGCAAGTATTCTGCCTTATTAACTCCTTTCTTTTATTTCTCTGTTGCTGTATTGTTCTCTTTATGTGTTTGTAACATCTTTTTCTGTAAATATTTTAATTGCACCGTTTTGACCTTTTTAGTAATAAACCCTATTTTGAAAAGTGTTGAAACTGTCTCTAAGGCTTTTAATGCAAACTAAAGAATCCCTGTCTCTTGAAGAGTGCTACTGTATACAATAATCCTTTGAATATCCATGTCTGTGGTGACAGTGTGTGTTACAGACGCTTATGCTAATATCATAGTGTTATTGCTAGGATTTGTGAGTTTCCTCCTTCTCTGTAAAAAGACGATGGTGGCAGTGTGAAGGGTAAATTGCGTAATTAACCTAACCTAGTGACAATCGCTCTCAGGCTGCTGGCATACAGATTGTGGTCCCACAAGCTGGAAAATCTTTGTGCAGGGTGCAGCTGAGAGTGGCATTGTTACACAAGTGACAGCGTGGTGTGAGATTGGCTGGTCCTTTGTCACGAGTTGGTGAGAAGGGCACTGCATTCTGTCACAGGTGTTAGTGCAAAGTTAACGACACCCCAAACGAAGGGTGTTTTCCCTCATTGGATCATATGTTACCAAAGGACCATGCGATCTGGTTGCAGTGAATTTCCAAAAGCAGTGCATGCAGTACTTTGGTGCCATGGGGTGCGATTTGAGTCCATTCGAAATGAATGGGCTAAAACTGCACTGCACAGAACCACATGTGAATCGCACAGGTATCTGCAGTGCATTCCTGTGCATTCCACATGCAGTTCCTGGTATCAATGGGCCCTTAAAGCAAAACTAAACCAAAGTTAAAGTAGAACTAAAGGCAAACTTTTTTTTTCGTATTTTTTGGTATTAAGTAAGGGAGGGCTATAGCTCCTGTCAGTTTTATTGTTACCATCTGTGTCCCATTATGGAGATTTGCCTCCATTTCCTGTGCCATAGCCAAAACAGGAAGTGAGAAGATCCCCCAAAGTGAAGGAATCTCTGGTTGTCACCAGGATCACCAGAACTAGTGTCCTCATTGGAAGATTCCCCCTCTATTACTGTTTTGGGGACAACCAAAAACTTGGGATTTTCTTTTACTTTCACTTTCAGTGATAAAGAAAAACCAGGCAAAGAGAGGTTGAATCTCCTTAACGGGGTACAGAAAACAATAACAACCTGACAGGTGTTCTAACCCCTCTCCACTCTATCCAAAACAACAAAAAAAGTGTAAAGAAAACTGCACATAGGCAAGCTCTTGTTCTGCAACAACAAACACTTAACTTCCTGCTTAGTCTTCTATTAATTGCACACACTGATTTGCACAACTGTCCCTGATTTCGCATGACTGTCATTTGGAACAAAGTCCCTCTGTCCCTCTTTCCTCCTCATTTGTCCCCCGGCTTGGTCTGATCCATATAGTTGTATATAAAATGCACTACTTAGCTATCAAAAAGTGTTTCACAGTGCTAAACCTTTCATCTTATTTCTAGATTGTTGCATTTGTTAACTTCAAAGGCCAATATAAAGAAAATAGTAGTAGTAAAAATGCACTTGTTAGTTTAACCTATCATTTTTTTTTTTGTACCATTCTTCTTTTTAGGGGGGCATTGCAGGGGTGTGTGTCCTATGCCTACACATGTTTGCTATTGGGTGTCCCTCATTCCCATATCAGAAAGTTGGAAGGTATACAGTTGCAAGAAAAAGTATGTAAACCCCTTGGGATTACATAGAGTTTTGCATGAATTGGGCATAAAATGTGCTCTGAACGTCATCTAAGTCACAACAATAGAAGAACACAGTCTGCTGAACATAATACTACACAAACATTAGATGTTGCCATGGTTTAATTGCACATAACATGTAAACATTCACAGTGCAGGGAGGAAAAAGTATGTGAACCTTTGGACTTAATAACTGGTTGACCCTCCTTTGGCAGCAATAAACTCAACCAAACGTTTCCTGTAGTTGCAGATCACACCTGCACAATGATCTGGAGTCATTTTGGACCACTCCTCTTTTACAAAACTGTTTCAGTGTAGCAATATTCTTGGGATGTCTGGTGTGAATCTCTCTCTTAAGGTCATGCCACAGCATTTCAATCGGGTTGAGGTCAGGACTCTGACTGGGCCACTCCAGAAGGCATATTCTGTGCTGTTGCAGCCATTGTTTTGTTGAATTACTTGTATGCTTTGGGTCATTGTCCTGTTGCATCACCCATCCTCTGCGGAGCTTCAGTTGGCGGACAGATGGTCGTACGTTTTCCTGCAAAATGTCTTGATAAACTCTGGAATTCATTTTCCCATCAATGACAACAATCCGTCCAGGCCCTGAGGCAGCAAAGCAACCCCAAACCATGATGCTCCCTCCGCCATGTTTTACAGTGGGGATGAGGTTTTGATGTTGGTGTGCTGTGCCCTTTTTTCTCCACACATAGTGTTGTGTGTTCTTCCCAAACAACTCAATCTTGGTTTCATCTGTCCACAGTATATTTTGCCAGTAGTGCTGTGGAACATCCAGGTGCTCTTTTGCAAACTTCAAACGTGCTGCAATCTTCTTTTTGGACAGCAATGGCTTCCTCCGTGGTGTCCTCCCATGTACTCCATTCTTGTTTAATGTTTTCCTTATTGTAGATGTGTCAACAAAAATGTTAGCATGGGCCAGAGATTTCTGTAGGTCTTTAGCTGACACTCTTGGATTCTTCTTTACCTCATGCAGCATTCTGCGCTGTGCTCTTGCAGTCATTTTTACAGGACGACCACGCCTAGGGAGAGTAGCAACAGTGCTAAACTTTCTCCATTTGTAGACAGTCTGTCTTACCGTGGACACGTGAACATCAAGGCTTTTGGAGATACTTTTGTAACCCTTTCCAGCTTCATGCAAGTCAACAATTCTTGATGGTAGGTCTTCTGAGAGCCCTTTTCTGCGAGGCATGGTTCACATCAGACAGTGCTTCTTGAAACCAGTAAACCCAAAACAGGTGTGTGTTTTTTTTAAGGGCAGGATAGCTGTCAGCAACACATCCAATATCATCACACACTGATTGGAGTCAAGGTTAGCTCCCTCCTGGCTCCAATTAGCTCTGGGAGAAGTCATTAAGCTAGGGCCTCACATACTTTTTCCTCCCTGCACTGTGAATGTTTACATGTTATGTGCAATTAAACCATGGCAACATCTAATGTTTGTGTAGTATTATGTTCAGCAGACTGTGTTCTTCTATTGTTGTGACTTAGATGACGTTCAAAGCCCATTTTATGCCCAATTCATGCAAAACTCCACGTAATCCCAAGGGGTTCACATACTTTTTCTTGCAACTGTAGCACAGCTCAACATACATTTGAGGTACACTCCAGCTGTACTGGAATGATGGATTCCCATGCACATGATGGTGTCATTCCACCACCTGCCAATCATCAGGCCGAAAACCTGGCACCTGAGAAGAAGGTGACAGCAGCCAGTGAGGGATGTAACAATCGCATCACTAAAAGGTGGAGGTGAGTATTTTGATAGTATTTTCTGTGTTATTTTCCTAATTTTCCCTCCAGCCCTGCTCCTTGCCACCATTCTGGCCTAAGACAGAATGATGTGTCCCTGGTCCTGCAGCCTCCTAGAAACTCATGTTACATCTCCCAGGAGGCTGCAAGACCAGTCACCGATAGTGGCTGGAGGGCGGGCCTGGCACATCATGTAGAGCTGGTTGCCTGCACTCAGAAGATACAGCCAGCTGAAAAGGGCCAAGATGGCAGCACGGAACCTGGGCTATGTCACCCCAACACCACAGCACAGAAGGACAATTGTGGATTTGCTCTGCAGGTGACTGTTTTGAAAATAACCCAGCAACACAGGAAGGAAGGGAAAAAATATACTGGGGGAGTTAATACTTTAACTTGATGAACAAGTGAAAAGTATTAGGTGGTAAACTGATAAGTTGTGAGGAGGTCTTTACAATTGATGGCTGATGTGCATGTGTGTTTTAGAATCAGTTAGGGGCAGTCTTGAATCAATGTGTACTGTATTTTCTTCATAACATGAATGTGCCACAGGCATGTTAAAAGGATATTGGAGAACTGGAGAAAATGCAGAGAAGGACAACCAAACTGATAAGAGGCATTGAGGAGCTTGGCTATGAGGAAAGATTAGAGGAACTGAATTTATTATTTCTTGAGAAGAGATGGTTAAGGGGGATATGATCACCATATATAAATACAGTTGTGTTCAAAATAATAGCAGTGTGTTGAAAAAAGTGAATAAAGCTCAAAATCCTTCCAATAGCTTTTATTTCCATACACACAAATGCATTGGGAACACTACACATTCTATTCCAAATCAAAACATGAAGAAAAATATATCAAATTTGTGTTGTTCCTCTAAAAAAAAATAGAAGAAAAGTGAATATTAGACTGTTCAAAAAAATAGCAGTGTTTGTATTCTTCTTTACAAACTCAAACATTCACTATATAAACTGAAAAATGTTTGAAGATTTTGCTTTCCTTTGAATCACTTAATGAATATTTAGTTGTATAAGCACTGTTTCTGAGAACTGCTGTACATCTGTGTTGCATGGAGTCACCCAACTTCTGGCACCTGTGAACAGGTATTGCAGCCCAGGATGATTGGACTACATTCCACAGTTCTTCTCTATTTCTTGGTTTTGCCTCGGAAACTGCATTTTTGATGTCACCCCACAAGTTTTCTATTGGATTAAGATCCGGGGATTGGGCTGGCCACTCCATAACGTCAATCTTGTTGGTCTGGAACCAAGATGTTGCACGTTTACTGGTGTGTTTGGGGTCGTTGTCTTGTTGGAACACCCATTTCAAGGGCATTTCCTCTTCAGCATAAGGCAGCATGACCTCTTCAAGTATTCTGATGTATTCAAACTGATTAGAGATGAGCGAATTATTCAAAAATTCGATTCGGCTGATTCGCCGAATTCGCGGAATAAATTCGATTCGATGCGGATATATTCGCTGCGAATTTAACTTATAAAAAGGGTGTTTCTAGGCTTCAGAGAGCCTTTATATTAGTGCAGAACACTGTACCTTTAATTTAAATGCCCTTGGAGTCTGCTGGGGAAGAGAAATAATACTGTCAGTCAGTATGACAGGCAGATAAGTGCCGTCGATCTTAGAATCACCGCACACTTCACTCATTTGGGCAGTCACGGGGCCAAAACCAGAGTGTGGAGCCACAGTGTGGCGGTGGAGGCAGCAGCAATGGGAGGCCATACAGCACCCTATGACAAAATGGAACCCACCAGCAGTGTGAGGAGACCTGAAAGTGGCACATGGCAGAGTGTGGCGATGGAGACAGCAGCAATGGGAGGCCGTACAGCGACCCATGACACACTCTGGAATGGCAGAGTGTGGCGATGGGAGGACAGCAGCAATGGGAGGCCGTACAGGGACCCATGACACACTCTGGACCTGGCAGCAGCATGAGGAGGCGGTACAGGGGCCCATGACAGATTACGGGCCTGGCAGCAGCATGAGGAGTCGGTATGGGGGCCCATGGCAGATTACGGCCTGGCAGCAGCAATGGGAGGCCATACAGCACCCTATGACAAAATGGAACCCACCAGCAGTGTGAGGAGACCTGAAAGTGGCACATGGCAGAGTGTGGCGATGGAGACAGCAGCAATGGGAGGCCGTACAGGGACCCATGACACACTCTGGACCTGGCAGCAGCATGAGGAGGCGGTACAGGGGCCCATGACAGATTACGGGCCTGGCAGCAGCATGAGGAGAGTCGTACGGGGGCCCATAGCAGATTACGGGGCCTGGCAGCAGCATGAGGAGGCGGTACAGGGGCCCATGGCAGAGTGGCGGAGCGTAAGCAGCTAAAATTGAAGGCCATACAGAGGCCTATGTGTTAAAAAATCCCCCCAGCAGCAGCGTGGGGAGACGACTAATAGTCGTCTCCCCACGCTGCGGCTGGGGGGACTTTTTAACATAGGCCTCTGTATGGCCTTCAATTTAAGCTGCTTACGCTTCGCCACTCTGCCATGGCCCCTGTACCGCCTCCTCTTGCTGCTGCCAGGTCCAGAGTGTGTCATGGGTCCCTGTACGGCCTTCCCATTGCTGCTGACTTCATCACCAGACTCTGCCATGTGCCACATTTCAGGTCTCCTTACCACTGTTGGTGGGTTCCATTTTGTGATAGGGTGCTGTATGGCCTTCCATTGCTGCTGCTCCTCCACCGCCATCGTAACTGCGCCATGTGCCTCTGTCGTCTGCTCACGCTGCTGACGGCTTCCGCTTTTTTTTTAACCGAGGCCTGTGTTTTTGGCTTCCGAATACTGCTGCATCCCACCGCCACCCTGCGCCATGTGCCTCTGATCGTCTGCTCACGCTGCTGACTGGCGTTCCGCTTTTTAACCTAGGGCTTGTGGGTAGTGGTTCAGAATAATGCTTCCCTACACCGCCACCCTGCGCCATGTGCCTCTGTCGTCTGCTCACGACCTCGCTGCTGCTGCCCAGGTCCATACTGATTCATGGCCCCCTGTACCGGCTCCTCATGAACGTGGTTCAGCGGGTTTGCATCACTTAACGCAAATCGTTGACAAACGCTGGGGACGTTCAGTGTTGTGCGCTTTAAGCCAGACACCAAAGGGGCAGCACAGACCTTTATTACTCGCTCAAGCATGGCTAAACAAAAACCAGTCTCTACCACAAATTGGACCCAGATCTGCCCAGGGGTCTCTGTAAGTAGATTGCACGGAGGAGTAGAGTTCGTTATTAGAATTAACTGTGAGGGACTTTTAAACCTAGGCCTGTGTATGGCTTCAATTGAAGCTGCTTCTGCTCCGCCACTCTGCCATTGGACCTTGATAGTCGTCGACTATCAAGAGTCCAATGGCAGAGTGGCGGAGCAGAAGCAGCTTCAATTGAAGGCCATACACAGGCCTAGGTTTAAAAGTCCCTCACAGTTAATTCCAATAACGAACTCTACTCCTCCGTGCAATCTACTTACGAGACCCTGGGCAGGTCTGGGTCCAATTTGTGGTAGAGACTGGTTTTTGTTCAGCCATGCTTGAGCGAGTAATAACAGGTCTGTGCTGCCCTTTGGTGTTCTGGCTTAATGCGTACAACATGAACGTCCCAGCGGTTTGGCAACGATTTGCCGTTAAGTGATGTCAAAACCCGCTGAACCACGTTCATGAGGAGCCGGTACAGGGGGCCATGAATCAGTATGGACCTGGCAGCAGACGTGAAGCAGACGACCAGAGGCACATGGGCGCAGGGTGGCTGGTGTAGGGCAGCATTATTCTGAAGCACATACACAGGCCCTAGGTTAAAAAAGCGGGAAGCCGTCAGCAGCGTGAGCAGACGACAGAGACACATGGCGCACGGGGTGGCGGTGGGATGCAGCAGTAATCGGAAGACAAACACAGGCCTCGGTTAAAAAGCGGAAGCCGTCAGCAGCGTGAGCAGACGACAGAGGCACATGGCGCAGGGTCGGCGATGGAGGCAGCAGCAATGAAGGCCATAACAGACACCTATCACAAAATGGAACCCACCAACAGTGTAAGGAGACCTGAAAGTGGCACAATGGGCAGAGTAGTGGCGATGAATCAGCAGCAATGGGAGGCCGTACAGGGACCCATGACACACTCTGGACCTGGCAGCAGCAAGAGGAGGTGGTACCAGGGGCCCATGGCAGAGTGGCGACAGCGTAAAGCAGAAGCTTAAATATTGAAGGCCATACAGAGCCTATTACTGTAGAGTTAAAAATAATACACAAACATGTTTGGGGCATGATTCATGGCGGATTTAGTCCGTTTATCTCCAGTGTGTCAGGAACTGGTGGTTTGAAATCCAACTAATCACGCCATCGCCTGATTCAATCTTTCACCAAATCGTGAGTCTCTCCACACTTTGGCGGTGGACAGTTCGTGTCCTCCGCAGGAGAACTTTACAATACCTCCTGCCGCACACTAAACACGCGCATCCGATGCCACGCTGTCATACACCTGGCCGGCCGTGCATGACAGCCTTTTCAAGGCAAAATTCAGCTAGTTGGGGGCCAAAGGTCAAGTTTTCGTTGCCCAGTAGTCATAGGGGAATTGTCTACCTCGGTTGGCAGGGTGCTGTCCAAGTAGGCCCGAAGCCTGTAGTGTTTGAGGATTCTGCTCCAGGCGTCCACCCTGATGCAGCTGCTGCGTTAGCGGCTGGTAGAATAGTTTCCTCACTGCGCTGGTGAAGAAAGCTACTCATCATCGACTGCAGACTGAGGCAGCCGCTGCTGGTGGAGCTGCCACTGCTCTACCTACCCCCACCCCTCCCCCTGCTGCCATGGCAGCGGAACGCGAGCGCACAGGGCCCACAGTGTCTGAGAATGGACGTTGGCGCAGAAAGGCAGAGACCAACTGACTACATAGGTGGTTTCATTATAGTTACTTTATTTTGGCCTCCCTCTCAGCAGGTGTGAAAAAGGCCACCATTTTTGAACGGTAGCGAGGGTCCAACAAGGTGGACAGCCAAAAGTCATCCCTCTGTCTGATGGTTATTATTCGGCTGTCGCTACGCAAGCAACCGAGCATGCTATGGGCCATTTGTGTGCCAAGGAATGCGAGGGATCCCTGCCTCCATCTCCATCAGCATACTGCCACGGTGCGTCTGGGTCCTCTGTCTCCTCCTCTACCAGATGCTCCTGCTCCTCCACTCCTGTCCGCTGAGTGGAAAAACCACCCATTTCACTCAATAATTCCTGAGCACCAATGTCCTCCTCTACCTCCTCCTCTTCTTCCTGTCCTGCCCCCACAGGGGTCATGTGGCGTTGAGATCTGTGCGCCACGTCTACCGCCACCCTGACCAGCCATTTTTAACAGCATTTGTTCCAGGACGTGCAACAGAGGAATGACGTCGTTCATCCCATAGTCCTGCCAACTCACGAATAGCGTGGCCTCACTCAAAGGCCTGAGCAAGCGGCAGGTGTCACGCATGAGCTGCCAATGGCTGACATCTAAGTTACACAGGGGGGAGTACCTTTATCCGCTTGTAACATCAGGAAATCGTGATGGCCTTTCGCTGTTCGTAAAGGCGGTCTAACATATGTAGGGTTGAATTCCACCTTGTTGCAACGTCGCAGATCAGGCGATGCTGTGGAATTCCGTTCTGCCGCTGCAGCTCAAGGAGGGTGTGCTTTGCGGTGTGTAGGAATGGCTGAAATACATGCAAAGTTTATGTGACATTTTAAGGATGTCTTGCAGTGGGATGGTGGATTTTAGGAACCACTTGACAACCAGATTGAACACGTGAGCCATGCATGGCGCATGGCACAAACCTTCCTTGACGCAGAGCAGACACCATGTTTCTTTCGCGTTGTCGGTCAACATGGTTCCGATTTTCAGTTTGCGCTGTTTGGGGGAGTTGGTGGGGCAAGGGATGGTCTCGACTTTCTGCCCGCCAGCTCAATAATGCATGAAAAAAGTACAGTGAGCTGACTTGTTGCGTCGGCCACTCACAGGCAATCCATAGTGACACAACCTACTGCCTGTTGTCGAGCTGGGACCTGGTGTAAATTTACAGAAGGAAGGCTGGGAAAAATATACTGTATTTTGGGGCTTGGCTTTAAAATTGTGACTGGCAATTTGTGACAGTTGCAACTATGCATGTTAATGATAGCTATTTTATCTGCCAAAGGATTTGTATTTCTACCCATCCAGTCTTAAGAGTTAGAAAGCTCTAGCCCACAGCACAGTCCAGTGTAGCAGGGGAAGGTTACTGACTTTTCTCTGCTGTAGTTTTCACTTATAGGGCTCCAGTCCACCTCCACCCTGTGACTGGACCAGTGATAGGAAAAGCAGCACAACAACGAGCTCAACTTCACTCTTTTCTGTCCTCCAATCAGCATTATAGTTGCACTGTAGCAAACCTAAATGGCTCCTTGTGCTGCTTCTCTTTCTCCCTCTCTGAGCTCTGCAATACAGGGACTCCAAGAAGTTGATACCAAGTCAAATTCATGAACTTGCACTACTTTTATTTCATGTATTATTAAGTACAGCTACTGACATATTTTAGTGCTTATAGTATTAGTTCTTTGGCCACCAAACCATTTATTTTTTTTATTTTTTACACACATGTATACACACAAATATACCCCATTTTATGTACTGGAAACAGAAGCTGTAGAATAAACAAATAACTTAGTTCCAAATGTTGCATATTTTATACAACTGTCTATCAAATTTATTTTTTTTGTAAATAATCTGTTTATCAAACCTGTAAAAATGTGTGCGACTGAAATAGCGACAGACTGTGATACTTAAAATTTTTACAAAGGAGGCACTTTTAAAAATCCTTTATGGCTCTCATCAGTTTAGAGTCGAAGGCTATAGTTTTGCCTTACCAGTAAAACTTTCCATGCATTCAACTTTCTGCACTAAAAAAATATATATATATACTGTATATATACCGGGCAGCTTTTAAAAACTAAGCTTCTACATACCTGTAGGTCATCCACAGCCTCTCTTCCAAGCCTGTCAGGAAAACCCCTAGTGTGAGCCACCCCTCTTCATTCCACCTAGATTCCAGACTACACCATGCGTTGGGCACATTCCCTTAGCACTGCAGGAATGAGCACTCCACCAGTTTCAAAGCTTCTGTCACAGAAAATGTTTAATCTACTGGGCATGCTCGAATGCATGGGAACCTTTACTGGAAAAGTGAATTTGGCTTTTAACCATAAATG